CTAATCCTGTCTAAATGTTAATCTGTAAATATATGCTTCCAACTTGCTTAAACTGTCATCTAAATCAGTTGATTAGCGGGAAGTGAAAAAAAAATAACCACAGTAATCAAAGTAAACCTGGAAAAGTTAATCTAAATCATGTTACTCTTAATCTTGAATATTTTTTGACATTAAGTTAATCCAGATAAAAGTTAATCTCATCAAAGATATAACAGAAAATTTTGAAAGTTTGAAGAAAATAATTTCATTAGCTATTCATCTGAAAGATTAGTTTAGTTTGTAAGTTGAAAGTTAAGTAAAGAAATTAAATTGTAACAAATTAAACTTTTCTCTTGGTGATTAATTAATTGAGAAAAAAAAAATTAAGTTAAATTTTATGCAAAAAATTAATCGTAATATAAAAATAACAACAATAACAGGAGGGTAAAGCGTTGAAACGATTAATGTTATTTAATCAATTTGAAAGTTAATAAACAATCAATCATATTAATTGTGTAAAGTTTTAATGTGTATACAATTAAATTAACTTTTGGACTGTTAATTGCATTCAATTTACTAACGATGAAAAATCAATGAGCAAGGATACAGATTAAAGTGAAAGGTAAGAAATTATCAGAAATGATTAACAGTGGGTGGTTTTTCCAGGTGATTTTGATGAATGATATCTTGTTGATATTGATGAATACAAGGATGATGATGATGTAACTGCAAGGGTACATTAACAATATCACGAGAGAGAGAGAGAGAGAGAGAGAGAGAGAGAGAAGATGAAAAGAAAAAAAAGTTTTCGATAAAAAATTAAATGAACCAGAATATTTTCATGAGATTATCAAGGTAAGGTTGATGGGGAACCCTGGAAGCTAATAATGATGGATGGCTTGTCTCACCTTTTCAAAATACAATTTCTTCATCTTTATCATCATCATCATCATCATTACGTCTCTCTCTCTCTCTCTCTCTCTTTCTTTCAGTTTTTACGGTGAAGTCCAGTAGTTACCACTGGTGTCAAGCCTTTACTTTGATCTTGATAAACTTTACTCAGGATCTACGGTCTACTGACAGGGAAAAGTACCAATGTCTTGCCATGGGATCAGACCCTTTGTGAATAACCCTTACCTCGAGGCCATTCCTTACTACACCCGATTGGGTACGTCGGCTAAAGCACACTGGATTATGCACCTTATAAGCCACTGTGATTCTCCTGGCATGAGCCCCTGAACCAGAATAGTCTCTCTTATTAGAAAAATCAGGTTGAAGTGAAAAATAATAAGAAACTTCAATGAAACAAAAGATGATGAAATTGATGAGGAAAAAAGTGATGTTGATTGAGTATAATTCAAAAAATATTCAGTGAAAGTGAAATATCAAATGAGATTTCATGAACCCTATCGTGAGACCTCATTTGTTTCATGATGATTAAGTGATAATCAATCAGACTTAATGACAATCAACAAAAAAAAAGTTAATTCAAAATGATTAGTAAAGCTGATAACGGTTGATAGTATTACAATCAATTGTTTGGGTTTAGTTGACTAATCTATTGGTTCAATGAAAACAATTAAAGTTTAAGAATTGACAATTAAACAAGTTAACACAATTTGTTTAATAACTCGTGATGATTACAACCAATAAATTGATTTGATTGTTTGTAAATCATTTAGATCATGATCAACAATTAACTTTCACTAACTTTCAACAACAACAAAAAATCACTTTCATTTCGTTTGATTGTTGATATTTACCTTTCTTAATTGTTGAAACATTTACAATTGATTCTCTCCAATGATTTACTGATTAACGAAACATTTTCCTCTACAATGATAGAATGACAATTAAGTTAATTGTATTAAGTGATTCCAAAATTATCGCTAAAATCCAACGAGCCATTGAATCATTACAACGAAATTAACCTTCAAATGTTTAGAAACTTTTTCTCTCTTTTTTTTTTAATCATTTACCTAATTAACTTGATTTTAGAACAATTAAATTTGGATAAACTTGTAATTAATTTCAAGTTGACAAAAAAGTGCTCTTTCAATTAATACGTTTTCGCCTAATTGTTGTTGTAATTAATTTAGTTCCAATATTATGTATTATTAACACGTTAGTTAAATTGTTACCATTTAATTACATGTTAATTTGTTTTCTTCTTGTGTTGGTTTGTCTGTATGTTAATCTGTTGATTTTAGTTTCTCATGTTAATCTAATTGTTAATTCATTTAATTTTCTGTTTCTTAATTTTTTTGACAATTTAATTGAGATTAGGATTTATGATTTATTTATTAAGTAAACCAACAATATTAAAATATAGTTAGTTTAATTTTAATTTTCCTCTTTTGATACCTTGCTGTTGATTTATTAGCCACTTAACAATTAACATTTTCTTAAACAGCAATTAACCTTCAACAATCAACAATTAAGTGAACATACAATTAAACAGCAAAAAAAAAAGGTTTGGACGAAGTTAAATCAATTCAATCATTTGATTTCTATGATTATGATTAAATTATATTGTCTCTTAATGAGATTTTCATCTTGATTATCAAAATAAATTAAAACCAATCAATCAATTTGGTTTGGTTAAGTTGCTAAACAACAATCAAATTAATAATCATAATGATAATTACAATTATTATTATTGACGTATTGCTATTAATTTAGTTGATCATTTATCTTACAATTTATAATTTATTTGGTTGATGATAATTGTTAACTGTTAATGACAACAAATGTCATTTAGTTACCTGTCAAAATTGTTAACTGATCATTACAATTGATGTCAATTTATCAACAGCAAAATTAATCAATTGTAATCATCAAATTTGATTGTTAAGCTTTTTTTATATTGTTTAATATTTATGTTAAAGTATCAAATGAAATGTAATGATTAAGATGATTAAGCAAAAATTAGATTTAAGGTTGAGGTCAATTAGTTTAAATTGTTGTTGTTGTTTATTAACAATTTGATTCAGTTTATGGATTAGTAATCATGATTACCATTATAAAGTAGAAGATGATTACTGTTAATTCAAAATAGTGGACAATTAATTAGGAAATGATCAAGTTTGACACAATTAAACTCTACAGGAGATTCTGATTAACTCATTCTAATCCATTTAATCAGTAAATCACCTGGAAGATTTAGTTAAAGTTTTCTTTTCGAGTAGTAGTAGTTGAAGAAAAAAATTAATTTGATAAATTCAAACTTAATTGTTGAGGTTTAAAACTAAATTAATTCATAAGTTAATCAAACTTACTTTGTTTCCCACTTTGAGCGCCATCTATTGGTAAGATTAATTTAAAGACCAAAAACTTGAACCAAATTGATTCAAATTGTTTGTTACTTATCATTTTTCAAATTAATTGTTTTCCTATTGACTGATTAAATTTTAATCAGGTAATATTGATTAGTAATGATTAATTGATTGAGAAGGAAAATTGAGTTAAATTTTATGCAAAAAAGTTTAACGTATAAAATTAATAACAGGAGGGTAAAGCGTTGAGACAATTAATGTTATTAAATTAATTTGAAAGTGAACAAACAATCAATCATATTAATTGTGTAAAGTTTTAATGTGTTTACAATTAAATTAACTTCAATTGGTCGGTCAATTGCTTTCAATGCACTTCTAACGCTGATATTAGATAAACCTTATCTGATAAGTTCGGTAAAGCTAAAGATATTCGTCAGCTCAACTTTATACTTTAAGCTGTTTCTCGGCTTATAATGTTCAGCCTTTTGAGAGAATGGATTAATTCAATAACCAAAGGATATGTGACATTTTTCGACATATTAGGTACTTAATAAGTTAGTCCACATTCAACAATGAAATAGAAGTGAACAGTTGATGACGAGGCTGATTAGCTATCGACAGTTTTCATTACATTGGTTGTGTGACAGTTTCAGTGTCTCAGCCTGATACTTTTCCGGGTCTATTGGGTCTTCGTCAATAGTGACCCTTAATAGTGAAAACCTAAACTAATTTGTAAGCTAAACCAGCACTACTAATTGAACAATTAAGTCAACTTCCACATGTATGTATATGCGATAGCTGTGATCGTAAGCCGAGAAAAATGAGCTTTTCGATTGATAGCTTGATTCACAATCGATTTATTGAGCTATTAATTTATAAAATAACATATTAATAGTAAATAGAAAGCCAAACTCGACGAATTTTTCAAATTTGATTGATGTTATTTGATATTCAATTAATAACAATTTAGAAACAACGATTAAGCGAGGAAATTAGTTGTCAACGATCGACCAGGTGGAGACACAAGCAAATAGCAAAACTGCGGCGAAATTAATTAAGTTAATTAATTATAATTCAAGTGACTATTCTTATAACTTTTTTTTATGAATTTTTACTGAACTTATTCACCTATTCAACCATTAGTTTGCTAAGAAATCGAAACAAAGTGTTAAGTTATCTGAACGAAACTCTGGCCTGAGAATTGTAGATATTTCTAGTCAGTAAAAGTGAAACGTTCTTTTAACGAATAAAAAGTTGACCCTCGGCGCTCAATTTCGTGTTAAAAAGTCAGCCAGTGCTGAGGAAAAGTGATCGTAAGTTTCGACTTTGAATGAGATTAACCATCAGATGACACTGACAAAAAAGATCCATTGTCCCAACATAACCTCAAACTGCTCACAATTCAAAAGGTCATTTTTTCAGCATATTGACCATTCTTACTATTTACCTGTGTCTCCGACCGATTGATCGATATCAACTAATTTTCTCTTAAAATCAGTCAACTTTTACTTTGACAGTTTTATGGTCAATATGGTTGAACGTGTTAATTGCACGTGAACCAGGGCCTTCAGGGCGACTTTCTGAAGTTAATGTCTGAAGCATTAGCCACTTGGCGTAAATAAATTCCCAATACTCAACTGCTCTCTCTTGTTGGTATTTGTAATTGACGATAAAACAATTAAAAGAACCGCCAACGACTTGATAACAATTCACTCTCCACCCATGAACGTTTACACCTTGCGATCAAATTAACTGTTGAAAATGATTCTCTAATTAGTAATTACTAATTACTCAAGTTTAAAGAGTCTGGATCAATAAACAAATTTTATGGATTCAGAGTTGCGTTTTAAAAATTTCAAAGTTGAATCAATTAAATGGTCACGAAAAAAAAAGTTCATTATCGTTAATCAATGAATCAGCTGATCCATAATCAAGGTAACAAATTAATTTTTTTTCTTAAATTTTCTGCAATTAAACATGATAAATATACTAAACTTTTCCTTAATTTTTCTTGCAATTTTTTTCTTTCTTTCATTTAGAGAATTGATTCCAATTCCAATTAAATCAACTTCATCTTTCAATGTTTATTTTACATTACTAATGTTGAGACTATTTAATCAACAATAACAACGAACTGATGTTTACTTTTGATTTGTGATGATAATCAGATGATTGAATTTAAAATTCAACAAGTTTTAGGTGAGTTAATTGTTTGTTCACATTTTAATTCTTTACACAATTTATATCAAAATAGTGATACCAATCTACCAATCTAATGATTAGTGATATTTTACTGATCCAAACCAAAAAAAAATTCCATAAACGGGTAACACTCGCGATTCTCCCCAAAGACTTTCGAGACAAGGCCACATGGCGATTCTTGCCCTGGGATAGAGAACCCACGTGACATCGTGGGCTAAAGTTCAAAACTGACCATTGGGCAACTGATCAAATCCAAAAATTGGTAACTTCTCTTGACGCTGAATAGCAGCGGCTTCGTTGCCAATGGTAACGACTTTGCGCTTCTTTCAAATTTTTGCGTTTCTCTTTCATTTCTTTCTTTCCTTTCTCTCTCTCTCTCTCCTTTGCCTCATACACGCGCTCAGACATTACTGTTTTTGTAGAATTATCAGTTTATTCATACGTTGACAATTAGAGATAATCAAAAGAAAAGGTGAAGGAGGAGCTCAGAGGGAACTCATATGATAATGTAAATTGATTTTCTCTGAAAAAATTCAAGGATTTTTGGTGAAAAAAAGGTGGAGAATTTGATTGTAAACATTAAGTTTATTAGTTGATTTCTTTTTAATGACAAAATTGTTTATAATCTAATTTAATCGCGACCAATAAGTCCAACGAATTGTTACTTTAAAATTGTTCGAATCTTTTTTTTTCTCTCCCCTTTTTCAGAGCTTCTTCTTAATCATTCCAAATGATTTATCTCCCATTCTAAAGTATCTCTCATGTTAATTAACCCCCACCAGTGTCATCATCAAGTCTAATTAATCGTCACAATTACAATTATCACCATCACAATTAGTTGAAGTCAGTATTTGATCAACTTGCTGCTTCTTCAGTTTGACTCATTCTCAAATAGACTTGATTAATTGTACATTACTTTTTTATTGTTGTTATTGATTTATAATCGATTGAATAACTAATTGTTGACTGTTTCTGTTTCTAATTGTTATAAAAATGAATAACAAAAAGATTTTAATTGTTGTTGGGACTATTGTATGTGCTACAATATTTGTCATTGTTTTGTCCATCTTTTTAACTGGTTCATATTTTGGTGACCAAGATGAACCTCCAAAGTTAATTGTCATCTCTTTCGATGGGTTTAGAGCTGACTACGTTTCTCCGACCTTAACTCCGACCCTTTGGTCACTCAAACAAACGGGAGTGACCGGTAGGATGTTCCCTCAGTTCATAAGTAAAACTTTTCCCAATCATTTCTCAATAGCCACTGGACTTTACGAGGAATCTCATGGAATCGTTGCCAATAATATGTACGATCCTGAGTTGAATTTAACATTTGACCTCTCCCATAGCACTCAAGTTTGGTGGGACAATGGGTACTCATTACCTCTTTGGGTAAGTTTTCCAACTCATTCCATTGATTATTAATTAAGTTGCACCATTTATTCAATGAACTAAATTCAGATGGAAGCTAAACTTTTCTATTATTAATTATTTCTGTTGATAATCAATTGGAACCAATGATTTTTCCAACCTCATCAATCTTCATCGAACTTTAATTGTCATTGTTATTATGCTATTTACTACACATCATTTTCATGTTAATTAGCAACAATTAACTGTTATTGTTATTTTTTTCCTTGTTGCTTTTCCAAATTCTAGATAGCAAATCAGAAAATGGGTAATCGCAAGAGTGGAGCGATCATGTGGCCTGGATGTGGGTTCACCTTTGGTGGTGATCGAGCATTTTACTCAGTTGAATTCAACCGATCAATTGATATGAAGGGTCGAGTTGATATTCTCATGAATTGGTTTACCGATAAAACTAATCCTGCTAATCTTGTTTTCCTTTATATTGAAAATCCCGATGAAACTGCTCACAAACATGGACCCTTTGGAAATGAAACTTTGGCCCAGGTTCGAATGGCCGATGAAGCGGTAGCCTATTTATTGGAAAATTTAGATAATCACAATTTAACCTCATCAACCAATATCATCTTGGTTAGTGATCATGGTATGGAAGAGTTTAAATCAACCACTACCGTTAATTTAACCGAATTGGTTCCTGATCAAACTTCATTCCAACAATTTGGTGGATCTCAAGCAATTAGTATTCTACCTAATCCTGGAGTAGAAGATCAAGTTTACCAAATGTTCAACACTCTTGGTAAAACTAATCATTTCAGAGTTTACAAGCGAGATGAGATTCCCGAGGAATATCATTACAGGTAATCAACAATTAACTAATCTCCTGAGTAAACTTTAAATACCCTTAACATGTAATAATCACACAGAATTAGTCTCAATGTTATACATTGATAATTCAATAGTATTTTCCACCATTAATTTCCACCATGAGAACAGATCGTTTCCCGATTAATAATCAAGTATAAGTAATAATTACTTGTTCTTTAATTGTTATACTATTTTAAATATCCCTTCAAACTGTAATCAGATAAATTGACAGTTTATTGTGTTGATTTAATTACTCATCTTTTTCCCATTTAGCAATTGACATTAACTGAAAATTGGTTCAGCAAAGTCTAAAGTAATTGAGATTAAAAAGTAAATTGTCACAATTATAATTGAATAACAATTCTCACACCCCTCCAACTAAAACAATAAAATTACAATTGTTTAAATTGTTACTATTATGGTAATTGTTACCAAGAATAATTAATTGTTTGCTTTTCCTATTCCAGAGATAATATAAGAATCCAACCAATTCTATTGGAGGCTGAACCAGGCTATGAAATAGCGTTCAGTTCCTGGAAACATCCTGATTCCATGTGGGGTAATCATGGTAATAATAATACTCAACCGGAAATGGAAGCGCTTTTTATTGCCTCAGGCCCTCAATTCAAAGATTCATTCAATTTAAATGGAACCTCATTTTTCAACATTGATCTTTATCCAATTATGGTTGATATACTCAACCTCAATGTTGGTAATTACAAATGCAATGGAACTGATTTAATTACGAGAAATTTACTTGCTGAACTTTAAATTATTAGTAAAATTGTGTAATTGCATTTATTAAACTATTCTTTCATGTATTAGAACAATTGAATTTTAATTCAAATTATCAAAGAAAATTTTTCTTCAATTTCATTACAACAATTAACTTTGAGAGAATCTAATTATTCAAGAATATTGAAAATCTTTGTTCAACTTTTTTTTTGTAGAAATTAAAAATTTATTTTCTCTTGAGAAAAGAATTTCAATCAATTAATTAATTTAGTGTGTTTACATGTAAAGTTTGAATCATATTATTAATAGAAATAATTGATTATATTAATCAAAACATTTTCTAATTTAATTCTGTCAACAATTTAAGTATAAATGTAAAGCTGAACAGCGACAGGACATATTCATACATGTTGAGCTTTATTCAAAAATCGATGATCAATATAACAGATCAAAGGTAAGAAATAATTAGAAATCAGTTTTAAAAGTAGTTTTTTCCAGGTTATTTAGATGAAATTCAAGTGTCATTGTTAATTAGATTAGTCTTTCTCTCTCTCTCTTTTTATCTCTTTCTTTCTCTTTCTCTTTCTCTCTTTGTTTTGTCACGAATTTCCAAGTTCATTTTCAGTGATTTCATTTAATCCCCGCACTGACCACAAGTGATACAATTACAGGTACAACAAGCTATATCCCAGATACACTTGAGGATACAGCAAACGAGTCCACCGACAACAAGTAAAACACCAACAATGATTGCACCAATTACGATCCCTTCCATGATTGCGGTTTAGATTTTCAGTCTTAAATTTGGGTTGAAACCAAAAAGATTATCAAATGAAGAGAAATAAAAACAAAGAGAAAATCTTGTTTCAAAAAGAGAGGATAAGTTAGGAAAGAAAACTCTGGTTAAACAAAAAGTAATAACAGAAAATAAAGTCAAACAAGTGTAAGTCCAGTGTAAAGTTGGAGAAAACAAAATGACAATTAGAAAAAAAATAATAGAAATTAAAAAGAAAAGGAAAAAAGAAAACAAAACGAGGTTAAAATGGCGATCACATTAGTTGTTAGTAACAAGTTGTTAGTTGTTCCGATCCGAAAGTTGATCGATCAGATCGATTTCAGAAGGAAAATGGATCGATCTCAACTTTCAGAGGATCGATCACCAGAAAAGCCACGTGACTTTCGATATAAACTCAATTCAAAAGTTTCATTCATCAAGAAAACAGACAGAGTAAAAAGAAAGAGAAAAACAATTCGCCTTTTTCAACCGCCAAATTTGAATTTGAAAGGATCGGGGGGATTTGCGAAAATTGGCCTGGTCCATTGAAAACCTAGAATCCGAATATCTCTAGTTCCCATAAGTCTTGACCGAATCTTCAAAGAACTTGCTTTTCCATCTCAACACTAGATGTCTTCACTTCGAGTCCCTTTTACCATTCGAAATGAGTTTTCAAAAGTATAAGATAATATCGCGATAACAGAGACGCAGATTATCAGGTTCACTTGTACAAAGTAATTGCGTTAAATTTGTTTCCAACTTTTATATTATATCAAAGAAAAGGTCATAAAACATTTTCTTTGTGCGAAAAAACTTTGACAATTAAATCATCACATAAATAAAAGGTAAATTCTGTCAATTTAAATGTAAATAATGATTGTTATGATCTGACTAACTTGTTAGCAATCAAATTGTAATCAAGATCAATTGATCAATCATTATTAATTTATGTATAGATATTACATGGTTGACTACGATTCTAATCACTGTGGTAATCAATTATTTTGATGTTTTAACACAATTTGACACTTAAAGAATTGACAAATGTTACATTTAATTCATATTAGAATGTAAAACAACACCAATATAAGAATCTATGTATTACTAACAAATATCAATTCGTTCCGTTTCCGGCTTTTTTGTCCAATTATAGTCTCGAAGTGTCAAGAAATAAGTAAAAAGTTCTCGTATCTCAAGTTACAACTTTCATGGTTCGAAACTTTTTTTGTTCATTCTCAAAGTGCTAATAACAATGAGAAACAGAGACATACACACTTTTAGCACATCAACACAATAGTATTAAGGTAAAATCAAGTATTAAATCAGGTAAACTATTGGATTTCATAGGAAAAGAATAGAAAAAAAAAGTTCTAAGGTGAAAGATACAAAGTATTCACACATTATTGTAACCATTATCAGTTTTATTAGCTGTATCATTGTTATTATCATCACCATCATCATCATGTATCACAAAGGTAAAAGGTTTTCCGGTCCATTAAATTTAATGAAAGCATTTCGCTTGACCAAAATTGTCAAAAACTTTTTTTATTTTGCTGATTTCATTTCTTGGTTTATACTTTTTGTATTTTGTGCCCATTGATTGTTGTTTTGTTTGAAATTCATTGTTCAAAGTGTAAAATTGTCATCCTTTCAGGTAACATCAATAGCGACAATGTAAACATTAACAATGACCACGATGGCGATGGCGATGGCGGTGGTGACAATATTGACTAGTGAAAGGTGATGATGATAGGGCTTATTGTGGATACTAAATTGTTTTGTAAATCATTTCACTAATTAGAAAAATAAAGCATCTGTTTAAAATCCTTGTAATTAGATTGTAAAATCTTAATCATTAGCCATGTAGTCAATTTAATGGTGTTACAACAACTTGAAGCTTAAATGTTTATCTTGAGGAAATTAGGTAAATATTAATACATTGAACAACCAGAATCTGGCTATCAGATAAATGGGTCTCTCTCGTTGTTTAGGTGATTCTTGTGAAATCGTCGTGACGATGTTGATGTAATCGTGATGATAACGGAATATTTTTCTTCCAGTGAGAAAGAGACTTTGTCGATTCAACCCTTTTCTTGGGGCTCATTGAAAAAGTTATTCCCAATACCTGATAGTTCATTGGATATACTAATATAAGTATTGATCATTATATTGTTGAGTCAACAATGTCGACACTTTTGGGTTGATATCGTTGTGACATATTGCTTTGTTTTCGGTTAAACTTTTGCTTTTACTGAAATATTGGGAAAAGTTTTATTCAATATTTAGATTTATGATGAAATTGATGGCTCATGATATTTATTCATAGTTATCCATGATTCCATGATGGGCCTGATGGTTATTTTATTAATATCATTACTATCATTGTCAAGTGATTGTCTTTGAATCTACTTTGGGATTGTTTGTCTGTTTCGTTTTATGAGTTCAAACAATGTAACATAACAGTAAATGTTGATATTATTACTTTCTCAGGATTCTGGTAAGGATACAGAGCATTTACTTGAAGATAAATTCACCATAAATCATTGTAGCAATAAATTTGGTACATCATTTATCAAAGACTGAATCATTAATCTTATTAAAATACATGAAGAAAAGAAACTGATCCTTAAAGATGAAGGAAGAGAAAGAAAGAGAAAGAAAGAGAGAGAGAGAAAAAAAACTTGGAAGATAAGTCGATGAAAATGTTAAGGAACACCAATAACACTGAATCTACAAAATTTGAATCTGAACTTGTTCATTGTAAATCCATGAGATGATCTGGAAGTTTTTTTTTATTTTCTACTATTTTCTTTCCTGATTCTTGAGATTTTCCCTTCTTTAGTTGTGAAGCTCCTCTCTCACTAATGAATATGAATAAATCCAATGATATTCCTTGAGAGCAAGAATAAAATGAGAATAAAAATAATAACAAAAGGTGATACAAATAATATGCTACACAGGGTATTCCGTGTACACTGTATAATCTTACCTTAAGATGAATGGAAAAGGTTCAGTTTCACTAAGATAATCAATCCTTGTCTTCATTAATCTAACTTAACGGTACTTTTTTCCCCTCTTTCCTTTAACCTCCTCCTCCACCCAATGAATAATGATGTTGATGATATAATATCAACTAATAAGATGCTAAGGTTGATGTTTGATGATGATAAATATTAATTTAAAAATATTATCAAAAACTGAACCAGTAACAATACTAATAATATCTTTTTGTTTTTGTATCTCTGTTACTCTCATTTATATGGTAACCAGGGGAAATTATTTACAATTCTGATGGAAGGTAAGAACTCAGACAAACTGACAAACTGAATATGAATATGGATTTAGTGTATCATTTGCAATTCAATTTTCTTTGGGGGGAGAAAAAATTGCTTTTTTCCACTGACAGATTTGACTCTTTATTTTTCTGTTGAAATTGAAGTTTATTTATTCCCGGTGAATTCAGTGAGTTCTGTCTATCTGAATGTTGGAAATTCGTTCAATGAGATACTGTCTCTGATACAGTTTTCTTCTTATTTTCAACCATTTTCTGTTATAAATTCTGAGTAGTTTCATCATTTTCTCATAAATAATGTCTGTCATATGATAAGAATAATGGATTGATCAGGGAGAATAGAATGAGGAGGTGGAAGAGAGAGAGAGAGAGAGGGAGAGAGAGTAGAGGGTGAGGTGGGAGAAGAAAAGAGTTCAAAGTTGTAAGTGAAAAAAGAGAAGAAATTGTAACTCTATTATATCGAGAAGGAGAAGGAATGATTTATGGGGAAAAATGATGATGAAAGAAAATGGAAGATGGAGAAAAGGAGAAGTTTCTATTGATAATGATGATAAGAATGATGACAACATAAAGATTATTAATTTTGTTCTGAGAATCATTAATTTTACTTAATCAGAATCAATCTTTATCTCATTGTGTTGCAAGATAAATTAATATACATTAATCATCATTAATAATTACTCATCATCATCATTGTGATTACCTTTGTGAAGATATTGTTTTTATTTCTCAATCTTTGGGATACTCATATTCACAACTCATTCACCATTACAATACAACATAATTGTCACAGTTATTATTTGGTTACAATTAAGGATAGCTACCTGAGCAAGTATTGAGTGATTAAGATGATGAGCTTTTTTTTTCATTTGTCAGGACGATGGTTTCATTCTGAATATTTAAATGAAAATTCTGTGAGCTGAGTAATGTACATGTATTGACATTTAAGTGCATCAGCAAAAGGAACTCATTTGTTTGGTGTTTTCTATTCGGAGTTTTGCTTTTCAAAGCAAATTCTTTACTCGGAATATATGAGATACAGAGCAGGGGAACAGGAG